AGGTGCAAGGCCTTCCGAGAAACTTCGGGCTTCGCGGGTAGTAGTTGTCGTCGTAGTAGTAGTCGTAGTAGTAGTAGTAGTAGTTGTAGTAGTAGTAGTAGTAGTCGTCGTAGTAGTAGTAGTAGTAGCAGCAGTAGATGATAAACGGTGCAATGCCGCGAGCCGTAAGCAAGGAACAGGGCTGAAACCCTAGAAGCTCATTATGATATATCTTGGGCTGCCAGAGACCCAGTTCATGTATCTGACATAGGACCCTCAACTATGACTCTGGTACAGCATACCTAACAGACTTTCCTATTAGCTCAGCGCATGACACGCCCCTGCGCAAAATCTGTTTTTGTGACCGCCAGTGGAATGGTCCGCATTAGCGATTGCTACCATGGCACACTTAAGTGTTAGGACTGATGTTAAACATACTCTTGTTCTTCTTGACCAAATGGCTTCAGTGGACATCTTCACAAAGCATCCAGGGTCAGCCAAGTGGCGACGCATACTCGGATCGGCTAAACAGAAGACCCTGACCACAAACCGGAAGGACTAGTCTGGCCGTGGCACCACACAGAGGGAGGGAGAGAGGCAAGAGACGGCCAGACAGAGACATGTGGGGTGTATAAATGTTTCTGAGTTATTTACGTGTATATGCATATGGATGTATGAGTATGGGTATATAAATATAGATAGAAGCGTAGGTATAAAATTAGGTCTAGATATAGACACACATGTCATGGGCAAAGAAAACACATGCGTACATACATCTATATAGATAGATAGATAGATAGATAGATAGATAGATAGATCGATAGATAGATAGATAGATAGATACATTTACCTACATACATGCATACATACACTGTTACACTGGATGTATGGAGAGAGAGAGAGAGAGAGAGAGAGAGAGAGAGATGTAGTTAACCCCTGCACCATAGCCCTGGCGGAAGAAAAGAGAGATTTAGTTCGTTGGTTGATTAGTTGGTTTGACTGAGATTGGAAAGGGGGGTGGGTTGTGAGAGCAGGGATGTTGCTCTCAAGCCAGCAGATGGGGGTTTCCGAAAATAGGGGACCCTAATATAGTACCCCAAATAATAGGATCCTTATTATAAGGACCCCAAAATAAGGTACCCCTCATTTTCGAAACCCCCAGATGGTCACAAGGTTCACAGGAGCGAAACTCGTACTTGTCGTGTCTTGATCAGGTTTGGCCCGACAAACTTCAGGTTCACAATGTCACAAGTCTCACAGATCTTCAGGCGCACTGCCACAGACCAGAACTTTTGTGAACACTCTTGCGAAAGGGTTGAGTCGCACTCCTGAAACAAGCTGTACGAACTAGCGTGGCAACAACCGAAAGCAAAAGTCGTAAAGGTCAATGGCCTGTCCTCTTCAGGTGATTTTCGTTGCAGTTCAGCTAACCCCGTCGAGTGCGACAACACGGTGTTTAAGAATGGGTGCTACAACAGTCCCACTGCTGGAAGGATTCCATAACTTGTGCCAGGTCATGCCACGTCTGTCCGAGGACAGGGAAGATGCCTCATTCCAGTACGGGGTTTCTGGTCATGACGTCATCATAACAACGGTTAAGGTTTTAGGGACCTACTCTTCCGGGTTTAGGATGCAAAACTTGATGATGTAGCAACTTGAACCATGCTGAGCAATCGCTTTCTGTGTACGACGAGCTCATGATCCAAGTACCTACTACCATGAGACACACGAGCATAAATCTAGCATTATAGTGCGAACAAAATCTTGGGCGATTCAAGTTGTGCCAGGACGATCCCCGTGAACGCCCACGCATTACGCGCCTGCGGGGCAAGATCAGCAAATACCTCGAAGAGGCTCGAAACCCAGAGATCCCAATTGCAGGGGCCTGAATGAGTGGTAATACGGTTGATGGACAAAATCCTGCATGACCTTATATACCTAAACTATGGGTTTTATGGTACTATACTATATTTGGGTCATGCAGAATTTTGTCCATCAGAAGTAGTACTCTCAATATCAGAAGCGGCAGCCACATTGTGAGGGCAGCGTTTGTCATTCCTGCCTATTCCGTGCACAAGCCATGTGGCTGTGATAGAAAGTTGATTCCGGTGGTGGGGGTCTCCCAAAACTCCTAGATAGTAGAACTACCCAGAGAACCCAATATCCCTTAATTAAGGAATATACCTTAAATTATAGGGGCCTTAATATTATGATTTAAGGTATATTCCTTAATTAAGGGGTATTGGGTTCTCTGGGTATGCAAAACCCCAAAACTCCACTCCAAGAACTCGGACCCGGAATTTGGACGCATGAGCACGGCCTAACTGTGTGCTTGGACGAAAACTGTTATCACCAATGTCAAGTTAGTAGCGCACTGCCAAGATCGTCATCGAAGCAGTTACGTTGGCACAGCAGCCATACAGGCAGCAGTCAAGTCATGGCAGGTGCATAAGTATTGGATAATACCCTTGTGCTAGTGTCATCTGTTCTATGCTGACGACGTGAACTGATGCTTGACAAGCTGGAAGCATTATTGTTGTAGGTATACTGCATCTGTTTGACCGGTGTTTTCGAGTTGTGGAGGTCGTGGAAGCTTCGATCAGAGACTGGCAGCTTACGACGTCGAGGGTGTGAGGTTTCCAGTTCCGCCCAAACTTCAGGGAATCGCAGCTCGATGTTCTGCGCAATTAAACCGATTCAGGCAACAACACTTGCGTCTGCTGTTCCTCGAAAGCTCCCCTAACAAGTCACTTCTAGGTGGAAACCTGAACTTCAAACCTCTCAGCCCCAGCTGGGGAGACTTAAAACGAAGAAACCCTAAACCCTAAACCCTAAACCCTCAACCCGAACCCCCAACCAAAAAACCCTAAACCCTAAACCCTGAACCCGATACCCCTCGAGCCAAACTGCTCTTGGTTCGATCCGAAACACCCAGAGAACCCAATGCCCCTTAATTAAGGAATACACATTAAATTATAGGGGCCTTAAACCCTAAACCCTAAACCCCTAAACCCTCAACCTTAAACCCTAAATATTATGATTCAAGGTATATTCCTTAATTAAGGCGTATTGGGTTCTCTGGGCAAAGGCCGAGTCCGTGAAGGAGCAGCGGGATGAGCAGAACCGTCCCAGCCTCAAGGGCGAAGGGGGCTTCTCAAGCTGATATAGGGGGCTTGAAGGGTTTAGGGTTTAGGGTTTACGGTTTAGGGTTTAGGGTTGAAGAATTACCTATACTCTTTTGGGGGGGGGGGGGGTCCTTATTGTGATTATGGTTATAGTATAGTATACCCCAAAAACCCTATTCTAATTTGTAAGGCC